AAGCACGAAGTCTCTACTTTATATTGGTGTTTGAAATGGGTCATTGGGTCTTGGTCATCAGTTAGTTGGTATATGGGCAGGGCCATTTCATGGATAAAGTTAACCTACATTTTTGTAGCTCTTTATCCAAATCATGTCTATATGACATATTGAGAGTTAGGCTTAAATAAGGGTAAAATCTTTACAGTATACAGGAAAAATATTCTTCAATATTCACTTCTCAAAACACCGGGGCCGCAATTACTCATATTAATATACAAGCTTTCCAATGTAAGTACAGGTTAAATTTTGAGAAAATCTGGATTTCTGAGGGCAAGGTACATATAAGGGTTAAAATAGGACTTGAAAATCTTAGAATAAAAAAGTCTAATGTGATCTTTTGAAGAGTATCAATGTCCAATTAAATCATAATGATTTGAACATTCCCAAGTCGTTCAGATTCTTGTTTTTATCTACATGTAATTATGGGGTGGATGGCACTAACCTCGGGCTCAAAATATTCTCCAGGACAAGGTAACCTCATTTGTTAATATTCAGTATACAAGGGTAATACCTTTGGTTTAGTAATGACCTCTTTCTGCTTGGGATGGGTTAGTTTAAAATTTTTCATTGAAATATAGTTGAAAAAGAAATCTTATAAAAAATAATCTGATGAAGAATGAAAGGGCAAAAGTGACTCTGATGCGTTGTTGCCAATGAACCTCTTGTTCGACATTTTCTTGATTTAGATGTATTGATTTGATTAACATCGACCATACCACTTCAAATTCAAATTCTTAACGGAATACCATTGTTCACCATTACATGAGAATTTTTGAACTGTTGAATGTGATACTATGCGAGAAATACTGTCTGATACCATCAAATACATGTCAAATCCTATTTTTAATTATCTTTAAGTGTATTTTACTCAGAGGTCCTATGTTTTCTCTTAAATAGTCTTTAATAATGTTCTCTATAATATTGAACGCACTGCAAAGTGCTCTCTCTGATTCCGATGATACAAATCCTGATTTTAAAGGATAAAGTTGGCATGAGTTCTCCGCGTCGCGACAAAACCATTTATTCTTGAAATATTGCTTATTTTGCATGTGTATTTCCTGTCATAAAGTGTCAGAATGTTGTCTGTTTTGCATGATTAAAATGATCAAACATCGCAATACCATCATATCGTCTTCCTGCATTATTGTTGCAGATATTGCTGTTTTGATCAAAAAGCTTATTTTTGAGAAATATTTTTCCTCTCATTTACGTAACGTAGACGATGTCTTGATGTAAAATGAAAGCTGAGACGTACAAGGAAGGCGATCAAACACTATAAGATAAGTCAACCATATGCCATATAATGCCTGTACAAAAAAAAAAGACACTAAATTCGAACAAAGAGTCCCATTTTAGATTGATTGTTTGTCCGTTTGTATGCTTGTTTAAATTCCCTTAATTCCATTTACATTGAGACGCCACCATTTGCCGGTGGAGGGCTGTAAATTTAGAACTGTACTCGGTACTTACGGCCTTGGAGCGCAGTGATCTTTTTCGTGCCAGCACCTACTGCGACACGGGACCTCGGTTTATACAGTAATATTGAAAGGACTGGTCTTTGTGTCACACAGTGGATTCGAACCAGCGATGTAAGGATCAACTCCTTACTTTGCCACTCTAGAGCAAACGGTCTAACCACTGAGCCACGCGGGCGACTTGAATTGAATATACTTGGAGACTGAATGTTGATTTTTTAGTACAATATTAGTGTTCGTCTGAAAAAAAATATTTTTGCGTTATTCTTATACAAGTGCCTAAACAACTGGGGTTGGGATCGACGTTTTCAGCTAAAATGAGCTGAAAGCTCATTTGAGATTTTCTGTGATTACATTTTGTCTGTCGTCCGTCTAAAATTTTCTGATAAAAGAGTGTCCGGCGTCCGTCTGTTTCATCTGTAAATTTTTCACATTTTCGACTTCTTCTCAAGAACCACCCGGCTAATTTCAACCAAACTTGCCACAAAGCATCCTTGGGTGAAGGGAATTAACGTTTGTTCACAGGAAGTGCCACGCCCTCTTTCAAGGTTAATAATTAAGAATTCGTGAGAATTTGGTGGCATCTTTTAAAAATCTTCTCAAGAACCACTGGGCAAGAAAAAAAAGAATTAAGTGAAAGCTCTATGGTGTACTCTAGATTCAATTTTATTCATATCATAACCCCCGAGGGTAGGAAGGGGCCACAAGAGGGGGTCGAAGTTTTGAGCGATAAACAATCTTTAAAATTCTTATGCTCAAGAACAGCATATCCAGGATTAGGAATATTGATTTGAAAGCATTCTAAGGTAGTGTGAATTTCAGTTCGCCCCCTCCCCCTGTTAACTTTTCAATACTGAACTGATTTCTCCTTTTTCCGAGCCGATGTGTTCAGGTGAGCGATGATTTGGTCTCTTGTTTACATTTTCAGCTTCTTCTCAACAACTCCTAGGCCAATTTCAACCAAACTTGCAACAAAGCATCAGTGGATAAACGGGATTTCAATTAGTTCAAATGAAGGGTCATATATGATCTTTCAAGGGAAGATAATTACGAATCAGTGAAAATGTAATGACATCTTTTGTGTGTTTTTTTTTGTTTTGTTTTGTTTTGAACTTATTTTATTGGATGAAACAAAGGATTGGAAACAATTTCTTACAAGTTACTGGTTCCTCTCCTTAAATAAAACAACATCTCATGCAACTGAAATAGTGCATAGAAATATGAATTTAACAATTGATACAAGTGAAACTTTTGTTAAATGACATTTAAAATCTACAGTTTTCATCAATAAATTAAAGCACAGCAGCAAAATATTGATATTAGTTTGTACAGGCAAATGTACATCACCCCATAATAACAAATTTGTATCAATAGTTACCAATTCGTCAAAGATAAGTAGGCAGTTAAAAATCTTCTAGTCAAAAACCACTGTGCCAAAAAAGTTGAAAGGTATGTGAAAGATTCATTATAAAGTGTGGATTCAATTTTATTCAGATCATGACCCCCGGGGAAGGCGAAAATATATAGGAAAAAAATTCCATATCTTCCTCTTGAAAAGGAATATGGGCCAAAAGAGTTAATACTTACTAGGTGAAAGCTTCATTACATAGTGTACATTCAAGTTTGTTTAAAATATGACCCCCAGGATTAGGGTCGAGCAACAATTATTGGCTATCAAAGTTTTACATAGCAATATATACAGAAAATCTATGAGAATCTTCTCAAGAACAGAAAACCCATGATTAGTCATGTTTATATGGAAGCATTCTCAGGTGGTTTAGATTCAATTTTCTTCGAATCATAGGCTAGATTGGGGCAACAATGCGCAATCAAAGTTTTACAAAAGAATATATAAGAAAGTTCTTTGAAAAATCTTCTTCTCAAGAACAGCAAAGCAATAATTAATCATATTTATATGGAAGCAATGTTTTGTATTGTCATGCAACATGTACCGATGGACGACAATATGTGCAATAAATGTAGGTACATGTCGCCGGTGACAATATGAACAGGACGACAATATGTACCGTCACAATCGTGCTACATTATAAAGCATACGAGACACTTCAGTGTGATTTACACACCAATTACATTAAAGAAAAACTACAAAAAGTCTACAAAAACATCTTTAAGCAACAATATCTGTAGGGCGACAATATGTGCAGTGAGGGCAGGCACATATTGTAGCTAGCGACATTATATACATGTGTAACTTTTCAGCCGGCGACAATATGTACTGATGGACAACAATATGTGCAGTGAGTATAGGTGTATAATTTCAGCGACGACAATATGTACAGAACGACAATATGTACCGTCACAAGCCCTCTTTAAGCAACCTTAACCTTTAAGCCGTCTTTTAGAAAAATATAGACCTTTGCGGCTGTAATTTGTTTTACATCAGAAAATCATAATGCGGTTCTCCTAATACTTAAGAAAACACAAAATGATAAAAAAAAGGGGGGGGGTAACTAACATTTCAAACCATATAGGAAACATCTCATTACCCTAGACCTGATTCAGATATATGGAATGATACTAATATTTACAAACCATCGAAAATAATACAGCCAAACTTACAATCAACGTTTTGGTTCATAAAAAAATGACGAAATATCTGTCCACGAATTATCATATCAAAGAAATCGAACTTTTATTTTTTACAAAATTCACGAAAGTTAATCCTCACAAAATTTATGAAACCACAGTACATGTATAATTGCTTGAGACAAGGTATTTGAACTAACAACTACAGAACGACTACTTTAATGCTGTCACTTCTAAAGGATTTAATGACCGAGATTTTTTTGCATTTTATGTGTGTGTGCTTATTTTTTTTTTTTTTTTTTTTTTGTTGATAAAGTATTTCATCATTCTCTGGAAAGCAATTTCATAAAGTGTTGTATTTCTCTAGAGCTTCAATATAACCTTTAACCGGTATGATTAATGAAGAACAGGTTAAAACTGTTAGCAGTGTTGTAAACTAATGTCCATATTAACCTGCTATTTACATATATTTCTTGCAAAAAGCAATTTTGAATTTCTGGAAAAAAAGCTCGCATTATCATTATTACATCACTATACTGTTTGACCTAAGATCTATGATATAAACTTTTGTCGGAATGCTAGATTAAGTTATGCCTTTTTTATATTGATCGGGTTCGATAGCAACCCACGAAGTGGACTGTTATAGAAGAACTGATGGCAGTATCAGAGAATTAATCAAACACATGATTGGACATTTACAGAAACACTAGTGACAAATCTAGGCCAAGGGTCAAAGCTTTAGAGGAATTAAAAACAGCCGCAGGAAAAAAATCGTATTGATTACAAAGCATGATGTTTCATAGACTTGATTAAAATAGAAGTGTATAGACACCGACTTTTATCATGAGAATCTCATTTGTGCAAGATATTTTCTGCTAAATGCTTTCTTACGGAAGCAGCAACTGTACCGGAAATGCTGAAATACGCTTTCCAGTAGATGTCGTTATTTTTGCTTTACAATCCTTAGTATAGTTCGCAGATAACACTATCATATAGACTTTCTGCACGTTCTTGGAGAGATGATAACCGCCATCCAATTGTTCATAAAACCGCTCATAAGAGAATGCCAGAAAAGGATTGCCTCATTTGAATTTAACTTCACAGGTAAGAAATTTTAAAATCAATGCAATACTGGGAAATAATCTAAGATTTCAAAAATAAATTTCTAAAATTGATTATATAGCTAGGGTCTTCAATTTATTTTACATACTCTTTACAATATTAACTTGTAAACGGAGTAACCAATGTTTTAAATTTTAAGCAACATTGATTGATCAAAGACTAATAGCATCACGAAAATCCCCTGTATGTATATTTACTCATCATATCTATGTGAAAAAAAATGTTTGATTAGCATAGTGGAAAATATAGGGTAGGGTATGTTGGGTATGTTTTACAGGTACAGTATTTTACATTCATATGGCTGTAGATTAACTTAAAACGGAGACATCTATTATATGTCTCTGCTTAAAAGAACTTTTCTTAACTTTAACTGAAACATCAAGTACACTCTAAATGAATTAAATAAAACTTCTGTAAAATATAAAATATTCATGTTACTGTACTATCTTCGTGGCGTAGGAAAAAAACAAACAAACAAAAAAACAAAAAAACAAAACAAAACAAAACAAAACAAACAAACAAACAAACATTGACGCAACCAAAAAAAAAAAAAAAAAAAAAAAAAAAAAAAAAAAACATTGACGCAACCCCCCCCCCCAAAAAAAAAATCAACCAAATAATTTTACGTTATAATAATTGGAAAATTATACAACCACATTTTTCGTTGATCATATAAATGTCTGAATGAACATAGTACATGTAAAAAAAACACTCTTGCGCTGAATAAGTGTGTACATATCTTCCGAAATAAACATAAAGTGATGTAAGAAATAGTTTTGGATGAAAAAAAATAGTTAAAATTGTTTAAACTTGCAATTGAGTGAGATTGTAGTTAAATTATATGAAAGTAATATATGTATGTTAATGAAAATACCTGTAGCTGAATGGTAAACAGATCATTTTAGACTGATTTTTCAAGTATAAATTTAACCATAGCTTATTTGCCACTGACACCTTTGACCGAAGGGGGGAAGGGGGGGGGGGGGCAGTTAGAGTAATATAAAACTGAACTAGGAAATTGGAGTATGAAAATATATTAAAAATAAATTAGATATATTAATGAATATTGAAAATTGAATCAACATTTAAAAAGTAATTACAAAGACAGATAATAAGAGATTTGAACATGCTACATGGAAAGTTAACTAAATCGAAACAAAATTATAAGCATCTTCTTTAACACTGCTTCTAAACTTAAAACCATTTTTTATGAGGGATATGTTTAAAGTGTCATGAATTAAATGTTTCTCAAGGACATAAAATTCACAACAGGAAAATCATATTTGCGTTAATATGACTTCAGAAATATTCGTATCTTGCAATAATTCTAAACGGAGAGGAAAGAGGACCATTAAAGCTCACTCAATGTAAAAGGAAAGGGTTCGTTCTGAGATAATTTACATGTTCCGAATTGACTTTCTTACAAGACTTTATCACAAATTAACCAGACCTTATGTACAAAGATGAGACATTGATTCCCCAGAAAGTAATTACGGACGACGTTTGGAAATTTAGACTTAATATCTCAGTATACATCACTGACACGGAACAAGTTAATTAACATTTTATCATCTTGTACAAATTATTAATTTCTTTATCCCTGTAAGTTCATTACGATTGAATTTTTTTCCTGATGGTGCAGACAAACAATCCCACTGGAAATAGATTTTTTTATCATCAAGAAATATCTACTGTTTTTGAATAACAATTCTTAAATTTTGTTCAAGTTCTTATCTTATACAAAATATCTGTAGCCTAGGTAAAAATATACTAAATGAACCATTCATTGCAAGCGCTCTTATATGACACATAATTCAAAATCAGCTAGTCTAGTTTACAGCAAAATGTTACATGATGCCTTCAGTTAAAGCTTGCCATATTCTGTATTTTCATATTCTCTATCAATACATATGAGAATAAGAAATATTTTTCATTCATAAATATGGATTAATGTGTACATCATCCTTAATCAATAAACAGAATGCTTAATCTTTGACAACATTGACTATTTGACATAGAATCGATTAATTAATTTTTTAAAAATATTTTATGCATCACTCCTACTCCCGAGACGCAGAAAAACGACCCAAACAGCAAATCACATTTTTTTTATCAAGTTTGCGATGCGTCGCACTATGACTGCATGATGTCACAATGTGCCAAATGGGATTTTCACAAATCTCTTTAACATACAACTTCATCTTCGCTTTAGACAAGGCATACTTCATCTGGGACAGCAATATACATCTCCAGAATGATTTACATTTATACATTGCTGTTTCCAAATTTTATTGCGAAATTAAAACAATCTCAAACAGGATATGATTTTATATTTATAACAAAGCTTAAAAAGTACTTGTGTGTTAAGCAGTTATTTATTCATGCATATACTGTAAATTGAAGTCCAGGCTTGGTTGCCATCATAGACAGCTGCTTTTTCAATAAAAATGGAACTCGTAAAAACTTATCCTGTCAATGGTCATTTGCAAAACTATTTTGTTAAAAATCTGATTATATACACACGTACTCTGAAGTTGATTTTAAAAGTATGCTTGAGTTTCTGATTGACAATATCTATGCAGTTTTTGGCGATCAGGTCTTCTAACAATCTCCTGGAATTTCCATGGGTACCAATTGCGTCCCGTTATTAGCAGACCTTTTTTGTATTCATATGAAGCAGATTTTATTCAGAAACTGCTACATGAGAAGAAGAAATTATTGCTGTAGCCTTCACCTCAACATTTCGATATATCGACAACGTATTATCAATTAACAATAGTTATTTCCATTCATATGCCGATTCAATATATCCCGGTGAGCTTGAAATAAAAGATACAACAGAAACTGACACATCTGTTTTATATTTAGATATCTTACTAGAAAAAAGACGGCAATGGTAACTAACAACAAATCTTTATGATAACGTGATGACTTCAAATTTTCAATCGTCAACTTCCCTTAATTATGTAGTTTATGGAATAGATTTTAACATACCTTGAGTCATCCGTAGTCTCCTGAATTAAATTACAAAAAATTCCCGCTATGTTTGGAAATTTTACGCTGTATCCCTAACAAACATATCCACGCAATTGCTTTGCTCTTAACTTTGTTCTAAATACTGGATATTATTTTTATTTGCTGATTTTAACAACTGATTGTAAATAGTGTAGAACAAAATACGAGCTAAGATATAAAGTATAAAGCTTTTTTAATGTGTCGTAAAAAATAAATATAGAATAAAAAAAAATCTTTGAAAAACTTTTTTTGATATACACTGTATATTTATTCAACAAGGTTCTTTCCCCTACAGGGTACTGGCAAACTTCAAAACTGTCACAACATAGACAAATTGAATACTTTAGACGTACAATTTTCGCTCGGAATTAATTTACGCTGTATACTAGGTCACAAATTCTCATCGGAAATTTGTAAAGCGTTCTTAAAGAGCTTTTTCAAATGACATACAAATGCAATAAAGGAAATCTGTGTATTTTTCTACCCGCAGATTGAACATAAATTGTGATCCTGCATGCGGAATTATGACCCCATGGAAAAAAGTGCATTTTCAGTGAACAGGAAAACTCAACCATTTCATTTCTATGCCTGACATCAATAAATTAAATAATAATATCACATTTAAGATCAATGTGCATTTGTTCCAGACACAATTAATCGGTACCTGCACTACAAATTAATAGGAAAACGAGCTTGAGATATCTGCTTATTTATTTCATGCGCATTGATGCATATGCACTGTAATTCCATGATGTAATTAACGTTAATTAAACATTTTAACTTCTGTTTGTGCAAAGCGTTTCACAATCACCTTGATTATGTATTCCATCGCAATAGCTGATTTCTGATATGGAGGTATTTTTCTAGGAATTAAGCACATACAATGTATACCGATACCTCTCTCATTTCTCGTAGGTGGCTTGTATTGTAATGGAACAGTGGATGACTTTGGGGGTTGCTTCAATGTTACAAAGGCAGGACAAACAGAAAGGATAGAATGTCCGTTTTTCTTCAACAAGAAAGGTACCAAACACCATATCCAATTCAATTAGTGTAAGGTCTAGGTAATGGAAGAGAAAAAACACGCGCATTTTACACCATCATCACATGACTAAGCAAGGACTCACTTATGCTAACGTACATGTAATAAAGTGATTTATTAAAGTATACAGCTCTAAAAGCTTTTTTAACGTTACATGTTTTGTGAACAAATTAAATGCACTTGTTGGAAAAAAAAAGATGTTGCTACTAAATAAAGACGCAAACAAATGTATGAAGAATTTTTAAGTTTTTTTATATTCATAGTTGATCATGTATTTTGTAGTTCTTGGCTGCCCCTCCTTTTTGTGCAGGATTAACAATAATACATTATGAACTAAGTCTTCATAAAACCTTTTTTTAAAATTGAGCGCCGTTCTCGCTAGAGTGCATTCCAAACTTTTATTATATAAGTTGTTGGTATGTTCTGAGTAATGTCCAGTCTTCTTTATTTGATCCTAAATGTTTTTAGGGGGGTCTGAATCAAGAATTTTCCAGGACAACAACGTATAGAAACTACATTTTGCTTGAGACGCTGTCTTGAGCTTTCTGAGTAATGGCATGCTGCTAAGTAATATATGCAAATCATTTTGTGGGAGATCATTTTTGGGGAAATACACATGTTTCTTACACCTTTCAGTATCTTCTGAGCACAAGAGAGTTTCACAAACGCAATGCAATTTCACATTAATGCGGATGTGAAACAAACACGATTTAGACTCTATCTAAAGCAATTCCGGGGAATTTTAGAGCGGAATATGAGGAGTTAGGTAAAAACAGGCCAACGACTAAAAATGACAAGTAGAAGAAACTTTAGCGGGAATGCTACTCAATTGTTGCATTTAAGCCGTTATTCGTGCAAAAAGAGAGCAAATAAGTACTACAGAGTACAAATTATCAATCATGAAAATAAAAACTTTAATAAAATTAGAAATTTCGTCGTATCTTTTCTTTACATCTTCGCTCTTCGTCTGAAACCCACGTCTGATTAGTTTTGTTTCTCTACCCATCAGGAGAGAGGAACGAAGCGCTATCAAACGTTGGTTTCCGACGATGATCTTTGCTAAGTAGCAATATCATTTAAAAATGTAACAGTGGGACGGACAACTTCGGAATGGACATTTTTCCGAACTTGCGCACCCTTTTCCTTTAAAGCTATTATCTTAGGATTTTTTTTAAATGGTGGGGTTTTTATATTTAAATTGATTTATGAAATAAAAAATCCAACATTTTTAGCTAGCTTTTGAGATATTAAGTGGCAAAGATAAAAATCCCATGGGGAAACATGTACTTAAAATTACCCCATGAAAAACCCCACAAAAACCCCATGGGGTTTAAAATTTTCCCCATGGGGAAAATTTACCCATACAATTCAGTGTAGGGTTTTTTAACCCATGTGTTGCTTATATTGTAATGTGGGGTTTTTTCCCCCACATTTCTTCATCAAGGGGTTAAAAAACCCATATATCAATATTTATTTTCTCTAAGATAATTCCTAAAGACTGTCTTTTTAAATGCATCATTTTTTTCTTTGTCTTTCTATAATAGTTAGTAGTTATTACAAATATATATTTTCATTTATTTGTGTATCTATTCCTTAATTTCATGGGAACGTGTTTAAAAAAGTTTCATATGAAACAGTCAAGAAAATAGTTAACTCTTTTTAATCATCTCTAGCTGTTGGCAAATTTTCATCCCCACTCCCCTTACATCCACCATCATAAGTTTGGATCATGGTCATCCATTTCTAGTAAGCTAAATGTTTTATATCTAAACCTATACAGTTATATACCCTGAAATAAAATATAAAAATCCTTTGATCCACCACATATATTTAAAATTTTTAATGTCCACTCCCCTTGGATCCACCATTCATAAGTTTGGATCTTGTTCACACATGACTTTGAAGTCAATTAGACATAATTATTAAAGAAAAAGAAATTATCCCAAGATCCACCTACCAATATTTGGGATCCCAGTCACTCATTAAAAATATTCATATTGATTTAAAGTCTTGATATTTGAGGTTACATTTAAAATAAATAATCAATAAATATCTTCAAAATCTTGAATCCCATTCCCTTTGGATCCACCATCAATTTCTGGATCTTGATCATCTATTAAACTTGCCTCGGGTAAGACAGAAACCTAACATAAATTACACCCCTCCCCTAATATTCACCTCATAAAATACTGATCAATCATGCAACTGTACAATAAACAAAGTGTTTTACAGTTTAATTTAAAATGCTCACAACCTAATGTACTATATTAATATCAACAAATTGTACATACATGTGTCAAAAATAAACCAAATATTTTTGTCATGTTCCATTCAGGTATATACAGGCCTAAATAAAGTTATATAGGTCCCCATTCAACTTGCCAGAATTTATAGCATGCCAATAACTTACATCAGTTACATGTAAACAAAAGTTGCTTGTCTGTAATGACAGCAGAATGGACAGGTCAACTGGTGATGTTAGTGGAGTAATTCACACATGCTAAATCAAATAGATTGATTTAAAACTTGCATGAATTAATCCTTGTTACAATAGACTTCTACGATAGGGATAGCCGACAGGTGATGTTTCAATTCTGTTCATAAAGCGCTCTTCTGACTTGGACCAAGTGTTGACTAAAACATGAACAACACAGAGAAATCTTAAATCGGAATCCAAAGTATTTTTTTCTGGTACCTTTTTTTTTTAATTTAGAATAATGACAATTATTTAGTACGTTTTTACTTATAATATGATACTTGCGAAATCGTTCTCTGTGTTTTGTTATTTTTCCTTTTTTTTTTTTGCCTGATCAGCTAAATAAAACGCAATGAAAGCTACATGCTGAAATGTTATATAAGTGGAAAACCTGGGCGGTCTTGCATGGCTATATAATTATCTGATTATTGAGTAGCTGCGTGGGCTATTAAGATGATGTTTTGGGTGACTTTGCTTATAATACGGAATAAAGTCCCACGGAATAAAGAACTGAATTAACACGTTCATAACACAGTTTTATCGTAGCTCTGATTTTACTTCTTAGTTTTATTTGCAATTAATAAGTTTCGAGAAAACAATTATATCGTTTATAGTTAGATCGAAATATTTCCGTCCCTCCTTTTCCCTCTTCCCCCCCCCCAAAATAAAAGTGATATGTTGTTAATTTGACATAAATGATAAATCCATTTTTTTCTATACAAACACAATTTCCTATAGCTATCAATTAATTGCCTTGATTTATTCACGTTTACGTTTACACGCACGTACCGCATACATGCCTATTTAGCCAAAGAAGTTACCCCCCCCCCCAACCTTTTTTGATTATCTTTCTTAAATAGATTTTTGCTTTCAGAATCTTTTATTATACGGGGCTGAATCCTCGAGAGCTCCTAATTACATGTAGAACAATTAGCAATTAGCAAACATAACAATAAACAGATAAAGAAGGGGTTCGGATATTTTCTAACCTTTTCATATTATCGTAGACTGTGACTATATATATAACAGAAAAACTGGACCCTTTATAGTTCTGGTCTATATTTGCTTATTTTTTTTTCTTTCAACAAACCAAAGTACACAAATAAAAACTTAATCAGTGAATTCTTTTGTAATCATTGTTTTTACAACACATTTGTTCAAGACATCTATATCTTTCCAACAAAACCTGAAGACTATGAAAAATGACGTCCGAAAATTAATGTGAAAATAAAGAAAAAATAATTAATTCAGCATGGCAAACGCATTAGATCGCATAAAGCACCCCTTCCCCTATAGCATGTATAGTCCTATCCTATATGAACCCATCCGCTACACATCGATGAACTTACAATGTGTATATATCTGCTATCGATGTTCACCTCTGTTTACACCCGATAATCAGCCATTGTCACAGTTCACGAAAGCGTGACTGTGATCTGCCACCCCTTCCCAATCGGATCATTAATTTAATTTGTAACTTTGAGACAAGGAAATCGGACTTCCAAAAGACTTTGGATTTAATCATTTTTAAATTGTTTGTAAATGATAGAAATATCAAATTTCTAAACACATCAAACATTAAACAAAATTGTACATATTTTAAAAAAAATAATCTAGCTATGTATAAAATTCTTATTCGGGAAACTTTGAATGAAAAATTAAACTATTAATTTAATCAGTATTTTATTATGTAAAGTCAGTATACATAATTGGATTGGACATCAGGCATGACCTATATAAGTCCTCTCCAAGAAGGTCAGGGTTACAAATATTAAGAATTGACAATGATTTACAATCATGATGAAATAATTCATAATAAGTTACATTAATTTCTTTTGTTAACTAGAAAAATTAAACTATATGGCTAAACTGATTCATTAATACATAAAGCCATTGATTTTTTTTTTTTTTTTTGGATTTTTTTTTTTGGGGGGGGGGGGAGGGGGGCATCTGCGTTTAATAAATGTTGTGCTAAGAGGAACTTACGAAGTTATATAAATTTGTTTCCAATCCATTTAATGTATTCAAAACAAATCTTTTGTGGTACGGGATATGCAAACTATATGACATGGTACGTACATGTATACTGGCATTTCGGTAGATTAATTTGTATTTTATTCTTGAAACCGTTAAATACTATTTCATCCCATGCAAATGAACGGAAATCATGTAATAGGGGGTACAATTAATCAGTGATTAAAAATACTGCATGCTATCGATCTTTTAATTCACACCTTTGATTGAAAATCGATTGCAAAATTCACCCGCAGGGCTGAATTCACACCTTATAGAATTACCGGCTAATAGCGACATATCGAAACCAAGACATATATTCAAGAATTCGGCTTCACACCAATCGATACCTGTCATTACATAATATTGACAGGGTTGTCCCTAAGACCCGGGAGCCGGGGAATTTCCCCGCCTTTAAAGACATAATGTCCCGCGCGGTTAATCTGGCATTCCCACTCAAATCCCTGTTACATGTAGAGGAGGAACCCGAGA